TTTTTTTATATATTTTATTATTTTTATTTTTATATATTATTATTATTGTTATTTTTTTTATTATTTTTACTTTTTTTTTTTTTTTTTTTAAGTGCGCATTGTTTCTCGTTAGTATTATTATTCTTGTTATTCTATGTATGTACTGAAACAGAACGATTTTTTTTTTTTTTTTTTATTATTTTATTTTTATTTTTTTAGTTGACTTATATGGTCGATTTCTGGTTCCGAGAGTCAGGTTGTCTAGGAGTAGCAGATTTATTGTAGTAGCAGCAACGTTTTGGGTGTCCTGATCTTCTGCACGTCAAACAGACGTAGACACGCTTACAGTTGGCTTCCTCGGGGCAGCCTTTCTGGTTCTAGTTGAGGCAAATTTGCCTACCGTCATGCCATGTGATGTTAGATTTGGAACCGCGAGGAGTGAAGGTACCGCGCTGTTTTTTGGTTGTGGTGATGTCGAGGTTTTCACCTTCGGCTTCAATGTCTCTGTCGAATAAGATAGAGTCACGGTTGGTTGTAAGGTGGAGTCTGCAATAATTGTTGTGAGCTGCAACAGCCAAAAATTCGTGCTTGACATATAACGTGTTAACGTGGTCTCGGTAAGCGTTTAGCTCTTTTTTCCTATTATTGTAAATAATAAGAATAGACTCCATGTAGGCCCTAAAAGCCAGGAGCTATTCAGAGATGTTGTTAAACCTGTGGGACCTATTGCATCTTCTGATGGCTATGACACCGCTCTCGGCGGTTTGTAATATTTGCTTCTCTTCGTTGTACTTCATGTTTGCCTTCAGGGTTTTGTGACTGAACTCGACGAGGTCAATGAAATTACTGACTGCGATAGCCTTCCATAGGCATGGCGGTAAGTGCGGTTTATTGGGCAGCATCTCTAATGCTTTCTGACCATCGGACCAGTTGAGGATTCACCACAGTCTGATTCTCTCAAATGTGGACAGCCTGGGCATTAGTGAAGCCGGAAACTGGAGGGAGGTTGGCATTGTTGTATTCAAAGGAAAAGAATTTTCGTGCAGTTGCTCTAGTGCGCAATGTGCTGAATGCTCAGGGGTGATGGTTGTGTCTGCGCTGGGCTGTGCGATTAAGGAGTTGATGATGAGGTTGTTGAGGAGAGAAGTTAGTAGACAATTACCTTGCTGCACGGCTGTGCTTTGGTTGGTCTGTTTCATCTGTTGTAGGGTTGTGGCAGCGTTAAACTCGTGGTTGTGTCTTGTAGATGATAAAGTTCCTTGTTGGTAGTCGAAAGGTTGTTGTTGGAATGATATTGTGCTGGATTCGTGTGTATGTTTTGTTGTAGTAGGTTCGTCTTGTTGTAGCTCGAAATGTTGTTGCTGAAGTTTGTCTTGTTGAATATGGTTGAAACATATGTTAATATGTTGGTTTAGTCTATTGATTAATTCATTTTGGGTCGCTGTATGTTGATCAAGGTATGATTTGATCAATGCAACGATCGAGTTTGCCGAGGATTGGCATGCTGCATCGATGTAAGCCTTGGTGTTACTGTCGATCTGGGACGGATCGACAAGTGGTGTTGACGTGAGGTCGACTAATTCACTAGTAGGTTGGAAAGTGCTGGTATTTGCTGTATTATCTGTATTCATTATAGGTGATGATAGAAGAAGGTTTGTATTATTGTTATTATTGTTATTATTGCTTTGGGTTCTATGCAAAAAACTAATTTCTCGCTGGAATTTCGGGTGAGAGTTATCATAGCCGATGTTTCGTGTATTTATATAAAAAGGGGTTGGTGGCTTGTTGTACATTTGCTTTATGCGCAGTCCTGTGGCTACCGATCGTTAGTGATGCTGGGCCTTCGTATAATTGGTCTGATTTGTTGTACGCGCGATTTTGTGGTTGTCGATCATCAGTGATGCCAGGCATGCATGTGTTTTTCATGCTTGGATGCTTGAAATGGCTCTGATCGTTATGTGCTTAACGGAGCTGGTTCATGTACTGATTGGGGTCGGTGCTGTAGTATGTAACCGTGCCCGGCCTTATTTTTCGATCAGTTGACTCTAGTCAACTAGCACCATCCGATCGCTATCAAACTTAACAGTAATGGCTACATTTGCTACTGATAAAGATCTTAATGCTGGTATTTCACAAGATGTCCATTTGGGTGTAAATAGTTTCTCTGCTGTTGCCTGTGTTGAGGACCGAGACATATCCTTAGCAACTGCTACAACCGAGATTTTTGGACGCTTTCAGTTTTTGAAGGTATGCTCTTGAATGTCTACGAACATACACTGAACTACACTTATTTATTATGTGGAAAGATTATACTGACAATAAAGCACTTTAAGACACTTTTACACCCGAACATTTGTGAATACGTAGAAATAGTTAAAGGAAAACATGGTAATTCGAAGAAATTTATGTACATTTAATTTTAACTTTCGTAAATGAGTTTTAGACAAACAAATTGAATTGTACTTTAAATTAGACCGTCTGTTTGTTATATTCGAATATCATATGAACCATGTTGGTAAATTATATCAACGTGATGAGGAGGGTAACATGGAGGTAGCGAGGTAATGGATTATTAGGAATAAAAAAATTATCAATAATTTTAATAATTAGCAGAATGGTTGATCGAAGCAAGAAGCAATGAAAAAAAAAAAAAAGAAATTAATTTGTCAATAAAATTAATATCAGTGTTTTATTTGATTAAGCAGACTTTTGATGGACCTATATCAATATTGAATGCGAAGATATCCGGTGCTTGCTTGCCTTGTTCATACCTTCTCAATGGTATTTTATTCATCATAAATTCATATTAACATGATTTTTGAAAATTCAAGCGTAGGGGATCATATGACTCGTGAATGGGCATTCCAGATCTTGAAAGCGCTAGCATATTTAAATAAAAACAATATTACGCATCATAATTTAGCTCCAAGTAATATTTTATTGGATTCCCAGGTAATGAATATATATAATAATCTTGTCTTTTATAGATGTTTTCTAGATGTTTATAATACTTTTTAGGGTAAAGTGAAACTAGCGGACTATGGACTATATTTTATGACTAAAGGAGGTGCAAATGTTGACTTCCCGATTGGGTATATATTTTATAGTTATATTACATTTGTAATGCAACGTAACTAACTTTTTCTATGAATTTGTGAAAGCTATCCTCATTATATTCCACCAGAAGCAATTTATTGTTCAGCTAATATTGATGAAACAACCGAAGAGGCCGAAAAGGCTGAAAAGGCCAAAAAGTTATATGAAACTACCGAAAAGGTATATGTATAACGTATATATATATATGTTTTTTTTTTTTTTTAGCTTTATTTTTAATCTATTTTTTTAAAAGAAAAAGTTGGTTAAAATTTATTTGTTTTTAGGTTGATGTATGGTCATTAGGCATAATATTGGCAGAACTTGCTACTGGTTCTCCATTTTGGAAAGATAATGATAAAGATATTAGCGGAATTTTTTCCGCATTATGGAAACTTCAATCCATCGCGGAAGAAGATGAGAAAGAAGAACTTTGGGATCGGTTTGAAGTTACCGCTCTTGGGCTAAGTGACCCTATAATAGATTTTCTCCAGGGAACTGATGATTATGAGAATGCAGATCTTCGAAAGCTTGTCAGAACGTGCTTGGAAGTAAATCCTTCTAATAGATGTTCACCAGAACAGTTATTATCACATTCATATTTTTCATCAATATATGAGGATGGTATTAGTAATAACTATAACTATTGGTGTATTAAGCCGTTCTTACAATCACAAAAGTTGGAAGTGGATGACGATTTCTTGGAACCTCTGAATAAAGATGTTCTTGATGGGATGCCATTATCGCAGATTTATTATTTTTGGAAACTAGCAGGAGGTGACGTAGAATCAGAATTAGCTAAAAGAGGTTATATGTCAAGCACACCACCAATAGAGAGGATCCCTAGGACAGTAAAGGTACTGGATGGAAAGGAAGAAGGTACTACAAAGGACACAGCCTTCTTGTATTCTGATACTGTTTACAGTTTATCGCTTAAGGAACTTCGGCAGAGATTAAAATCAGTTGCTGGACCTAACAAGGAAACATTCGAATGGGATACAGACTATTTTCTCGTTGTAGATGAAAATGACATGAATTTTCTTGTTGACGAAACGATAGATGAGGAAAACTCGGGTCCTAAAAATGATTCACTTGAAGATTTACTTGGGAAATATCTCTTCCCAGATCCCAACAATAACAAATCATCTTCATCGTCAGTAAATGGTCAAAGCCCACCACCATCGAATAATGTCAAATCACCATTACTCGCACGGGAAAAGGATGTTGTATATCAGTTCCAAAGAGTAGCTCTTTTTAGTGAATTGCTTCGACAATACCCGGCATCCCGTGATGAAATCATTCATCAGGCAAAAGTTGATATACCTCCTTTTTTACGCGGAAAAATTTGGGCAGCTATATTGGGTGTTAATGGCGATTATCAAGCTATATATGATACTTACGACAAAGAAAACGAAAAAGAGACTCAAACAGACCGTCAGGTTAGCATCTTTGTTTTTTTAAAATATTAAATCAGCATTATAATAATGCTCATATATTTTTTAGATTGATGTTGGTAATGTATTGTTTGAATTCTTTTAATATATGGGGTGAGTTAATAGAAATCAAGCAAATTTTTTATAATAAAAATTTTTTATAACCTTAAACAAGAATAACTTAGCAAAACCTTGATTTACAAACTTGTAGAATTAATTTTAAAAAAATTTTATTAAATTTGATTAAGTTTTTGTTAAATTATCCTTGTTTAAAGTTTTTTTAAAAAAAAACTTATTAAAAAATATTCGCTTGGTTTCTATTGACTCAAACCCATATATTTGAATTCATAAAAAATCTGATAATTTTTGATTGATATCGAAAATAATTTTTGCAGATGTTCCGAGATGTCATCAATATCATCAACTACTTTCGTCTCCTGTTGGGCACGAAAAATTGAGAAGACTTTTGAAATGTTTTGTGTCTGTAAATAAAGACAAATTGGTTTATTGGCAAGGTACTCAAATATTTGCTTTATTATTTGTGTGAGTTGTAATTAATCATTCATTTTCATTTTCACAGGACTAGATTCTCTGTGTGCACCTTTCTTAACTCTTAATTTTAATGATGAAGCTCTGGCATTCAACTGCTTTCACGCGTTTATTCCTAAATTTATGAAAGATTTTTTCATATCTGACAATACGCCTGTCATGCAAGAATACCTTGCAGTGTTTCGTCATCTTCTATCATTTCATGATCCGGAATTATCTAGACACCTCAACAAAATAGGATACCATCCAGAATTATATGCCGTTCCATGGTTTTTAACTTTGTTCACACGTAAGTTCATATATGCAGTATCCCTACCTTATTAGCATTTCTATTACCCATAATTTCTTATGACATTTATCTGATCAGATGTATTTCCGCTCGATAAAACCTATCACTTATGGGATAAAATTCTTGTTGGACCACCATCATTACCATTATTCACTGGTGTTTCTATTATAAGACAATTTCGAGATACTCTCACCAAGACGGAGTTTAATGATTGTATAATGGTTAACGAATTATTCCCGAATGTTGATATCGAAAAATGCGTTCAATCAGCATTATCAATGTACAAAGTTACACCACCTTCAGTGATATATCGTGTACACGAATCGGATGCAAAGACTGGGTCTATTAATGAAAATAAAAAAGTATCTATAATTATTTTCCGACTTTCATTAAATGATATATCATATAATATTAATACACATGTTTATATATCAATTTTTTATTACATGGTGGTTTTTAAAGCATGATCGCTGGTGGGAGCAGCCTATACCTATTGAAGAAAAAAAGCAAGAATTGGCACCTAGAATATCACTTAAGGATTTAGTCAAACTAAAAAGTTACGTTTTAGTAATTGATACGAGAACTGAACAAGAGTACGTATGATTCAATATTGTTATTTGTAACGTTGATTTTGTAAACTATACACGTTTTTTTTATTTGTAGATTTGCAAGAGGCCATTTTCCGTTATCAATTAATATGAATCCAGCTCATCTGGAACAATTGTCACAAGCATTATGGCAAGAAAAAAAGAAGTATCATGTTGTAGTTGGAGTACGTGGTGAATCAGGACCGCAGGTTCGCATGATTATTATAATTCTGGAATATTAACAAATTTGTTATACAGAAGTTTTTTTTAAGATGTAAATTTTTCGTTTTAAGTTTGCCAGTGATTTAGTCAATGCAGGTTTTCCACGTGTTGCAGTATTAAACGGCGGCATCGACGTGATGCGCGTGGATGGAGGAGAAGTTGTAGTATGCGCTTGCGCATGCCCACCAATAAAGGCTCCATTTACATCGGGGGCTAAAAATATTGTTTACTGGAAATGTACACAAAATTTAATGAATTGAACGCAACAGTTATAATCATAGACATGATTTATATTTATGTAAATTTTTGTATAAATATATCTCTTAAATATATAAATATATATATATACAATTTTGAACAAAAAACAATTTTCTTGTAAAATTTATTGACCTGTTATTAAATGATCTAGTATATATTAAAAAAAAAAAAAAAAGATTATAAATTTTAAAATAATGAAACATTGATACAGAGGTATAAGCAACTCTTTCTGATGATCACTTGCACCAAAATTTTCTTTTAATAAAAAACAAAAATTTGTTGGAGATAGTAGTAGTATGACTAAAAAGTAGTGGTTTTTATAAAGATCAACTTTTCTTTCTTTTAAGACTTCTCTATATATTTGACATGCAAGCCAAAAGTGTTGTGATAAAAATTATAGTATTATAGTATTATAGTAGTTAGTTTTTAAGCATGTGATTATTTTTCTAATACATGATAATTATTTCTTTTGTTTGTGTATTACAGTTATGTAACTTAACCTGTATAGATAGTACATAGCCTATATGCAGTTTATGACCCATATATACTTATTTACAAGGCCTATGCACTTTACACAACCTACACACCCTATGTAAGATCTAGTGTTTGAAAAAGTCAGCACAGATCAGATTCGGATTTGTGTAGATTCAAGCTATTGGATTAAGTTTGGCCCCTAAACCATTGGATTGGGCCTGGATTGAGTGAAATTGGGTCTAATTTTAGATGTCTTCATATAATCACTCTATGTAACAAATTTGAACATATCACACAGTGTCACAATGGTTCTATTACAAAATCCTGAAAACTATTTTCTCGAAAAAACATAATATTGACTGAATTGACCAGCATTATAACTAATGCTAGCTAACTTTGTTGGTATTAGGTTCTTTCAGGAATTTGTCATTCAGAATTTTGTAGTACTATTACAATACTATAGCCTTCTTGGCATTGTTATAGCAAAGTAACAAGGTCACCTGGTGCAGTAATATACTTTATAAATATACATGGGGTGGATGTGAAGTGTATACTTTTACTTCACAGCAAGAGGCAAATAGTTCAAGATAATAACAGTTTATAAAGATAATAATATTTATTAATAACAGGTTTATGGTAATATTCTTTACTATAGGAATAATTTAAAGAGAGAATATTACACTATACAAATATAAGAAGGGTAAGAAGGGTAGTTAGATAAGGCTAAATTCTATAAGAGGGTAGGGAACTCTAACTTGAGTAGAAGGGGCAAAAGGCTCCCTTTTTATAACTTTTCTACACATAAAAGGTGTAATGACTAAACTATGTAAGAGGCACTTAGAGGCACTGTATAAAGGCACTCAGAGGCACTTGTGTAGAGGCACTCAAAGGCACTTAGAGACACTCAGAGGCACTTGTATACAGAGGCACTTGGAGATACTCATACAGAGGCACTTGGAGGCACTCATATAGAGGCACTTGGAGATACTCGTGCAGAGACACTTGGAGGCACTTATACTATCTTAGGTATAGTACTACTGTGCTGAATATAACTAGCTAATAATATCTCTATAACTAAAAAAATAATAATAATACAATAATAAGAATAATAATAAAATGCTAACCAATTAACTCTCCCTGACGATCACTTGGACCAATTTTTTTGCTAAAGAAAAACAGTTTTGTTGGAGCGTTGCCTGTACTAAGGCGTAGTAGAATAACATAGAATATGGTTTTTGTAGAGGTCAACCATTTCTGCTATTGCGGAGACTCCTCTATATATTCAATATACAAGCCGAAAGCATCGTTATACAAGATAACTGGCAAGAGGTAGTGCCCTTGTATATGAAATTTTGGTAGAGTGAGAAATCTCTGTTGACAAAGTTATCTATGGCAAAACAGTAGAGAACAACAAAACAAGCTTTTTCAACACTCTCGTTTGGAAATTTTGAAGAACCCGCAACCGAAAACCCCTTTCCATATTCTTGCCTAGTTTGGATTTTTTTAGGAAATTTTTGCTAAACAAAAAGTGGGAAAATCAGCGTACCCTCTCCAAAAGATCTGCATTGTTTACCAATTTCAAATTGGAAACAGGAGTCATGAGAAATCATGGATTCGGCAGCCTGGAAACTCTAATTACGGCAGCAGATGGCTTGAGATACAGGTCTTCGAATGGCGGCAGCACCTGGCTCGAAATACTATTACAGAGTAAAGACTTCTTAATTTACTCTATAACAACGACACGGCACAGAGAATCCTTTCGTAGGTATATGCGATGTCCAAGAGGTAAGTATAGCTTCTTTTCTCTTTAAGAAACTATACCCTTCTCTAAGGCAGTTCGTGGGGAAATACA